GGCACCCAAGCACTTCAAGTAATTCACCATTCTTTTCCAGAAAAGTGCTGGATAAATGAAATCCATAAATGAATTTCTTTATATTTATAATGAAACAACTCTAAACTAGAAATTAAAGTGGCGCTTGGGGGCGGAGAACTGACCTGCAGTGAGTTGTAGTGCCTGCAGTATAAATTTCACTGATTCAACCAGTCTGAATAGGGAAAAGGAGTCATTTTCCTTTTTGGCGCTGCATGTACTGCAATGAGCATAGGAGAAATAAAAACAAATATAAAGCCAAATCAAGCTTCCGGGATAGACTCCGGACCCCCCGCGACCCAGAAGGATAAGCGGGCTGGAAACTGGATGGATAAAGACAAATCAAACCAATGTCAAGCGATCTCAGGCATAAGTGTCCATCCTCAAAGACCTTGGCATTCCTGTTCCCACCTTGTCATGTTATTGAGAAGGTTAAGGCTCATGGCCAAGACTTGATCAAAGACTGCAGGGAAAGATTGTTTCAGTAGTGGAGGAAGCACCTTGATCATCTGATCTACAGCAAGAAGGTACAATTGTTTCAACTCACACATCTGTTGCCAGCTTTATGATAGAAGATCCAGTAGGACCCCATTGCGGAGAGAATAAGTCTGACTGGACTTTGCCAAAACAAATCATATCCTATGGAAAGATGAGACCAAAATAGATCTTCTTGGTAAAGCATGCCATGTCTATGTTTACAGGAAACAAAATGAAGCCTTGCAAGTAAAGAACACCTTCCTTTCAGCAGAACATGGGGGATCAGTGATGTTTTGTAGTTGCTTTTTCTCTGGCACTTGAACATGTGCAAGGTAACATGAAATTAGAACTTGAATAGCAGTGAATCTCTCTCCCTCTCTCTGTCATTCATGTGTCACACACACACACACACACTAGGTTTTTGGTTGCCACTTTCACAGTTAAGTGTTCAAACTAAAACACGCTTGTTGAAAAGACAAAGGTGATTCAAGTCTCCTGTTTGTACCCTTTGTTAATATATAGCCTAACTGTCATCCTGTTTTTCCTTCCCTACTTATTTTCTGGAATGTTCTATCCTCAAATCAAAAAACTGAGAGGCACCATTAAGAATGTTTAGCACTGCTGCACCGAATTCGAGATCAGTGGATATTCTGGCGAGCACAAAATGAGACATATAAAGTAAGATGCTAGACATTATATTTAATTCATATTCCAAACCATCCACCCCACGCAGTAACATGAAAGCACTGGGAACTCAAACAGAATGTTAGCGACTAAGCAGTATAGGGGAAGTGCAGCAGTATGGCCTCCTCCGCCTCTAGTTTGAGGTCTCCCAGCTGCACGGATTTCTCTGGGGGGTGGGTTTTGGGGTCAGTGCTGAGCAGCACAGTGGCATGCTCGGGCAGGTGGGCATGAGACAGACGCAACGTGACGGACTTCTTCCCCAGGTTGAGGGCCGTCAGGTAGCGTTCGCTCTGGTCCCACTGCCGCAAGAAGGCCAGAGAGGTTGTGCTATTGTGAAGGAGCAGGAAGTCCCCATGTTGTAGGGAGCGCTCTTTCCCCCGCAAGTCGCTCAGGGTCTTGAAGAAGGAGTGGCAGGACCGGCGGTGCTCACTCATCATCTGTGGGAGAGAGGATGTGAGTGATGTGAGCTGTGTTTACGCATATACATACAGAGCGGAGACGCACACACAGAAGTAAATACACACACCCTACCTTCACGGTCTCATTCTTCTCCTCTGTATGCTCCAGTGAATCCCAAACCATCTTGGGATTATGTGTAGCGTTCTGGTGAAAGCAGACACAAACTTAAACTCCCACATCACTATGAGAACCAAACGTGACTGAATAAAATGAATGACATGCTCAGTTGTTCCGATTATCAAGCCCTCTGACCTAATGTTTCATCCATTACATGCACAATCCTTGTACAAATTTTTTTTCTAGATGATCATAAGCTCAGTCCCTTTCGTTGCTTACCACATCACTCTTCAGACAGATCTCGTCACCGTAGCTGAACACTGGCGTCCCCGGCAGAGTGAACAACAACATCTGGTAGAGCTTCACCAGCGTGGGCCCAACCAATGTGCCAAGGTGCCCCTCAGTCTTGCTGCCTATGTTCCAAGCCAGACCAGTCTGGTTGCGTGACTCATACAGCTGCTGGATGGCCTGAGCCCACTGACCACCAGTGACATTGGGCTGCAGAACCCTGGAGAGCAGCAGGTCCACTGTGGAAATGTTATGGAGCGTAGATACAGCTGCTGAAGTGTTCTGCATGCTCACCCCAATTAAGACCCTGAAAGATGCAAAGGTTACCTTTAGACACCAAAAGGCAGGTTTTACAAACTCCCCTTTTCACATGCACCAATATCCCAACGCAAGTCACACCATCCACTGTACATGTAGCTACATCCAGCAGCTTTTTAACAAGCATAATACCAGGGCTGCCCAAAGACTCACGTTAAACACAAATGATCATGAAACACAAGTGCCCACCTTTGCTTTGCCCCATCAGTTCTGTTGTCCTTAATAGTATTCTTCAGACTATGCCATATACTTGGATCCACAAAATTTTCATCGATTCCACCCAGCTGAAATCCATCCACTCCCAAATCCATCCAGTGGGACATAGCGACCTTAAAAAGGTTGGGTGGGTGTTAGACTGTACATTGAAACTTTCCAAAAAGAATAAGTATAATTTCACTCAAAAGGTCAGTCTTTAAATTTGATCCTCACCTTCAGTTTTTCAGCAATGCTGGACACCTGGATTTTATCAAACCAGAGGTTGCTGCCCTTGTAATTTGGTGTCAAATCCAAGACCACAGAAAGGCCTGTCAGAGAAGCAGTGGCATACAGTTACCATTTAAACTGAACATAACTGCACATTTTATTAGATGGTGGAATAAAAAGAAAATAAGAGCTAACAAGCATTAGCAGATACTCAAACACTCACCCTTCTTGTGAGCCTTGTCCACCAGGCTCTCAAACTCCCCGTTCGTCCCCACCTCAGGGTTTATGGCCATAAAGTTTAGTGTGTTTGGTTGGTCCTTCTGGACAGTGTGAAGAGGTCCCATTACCACACCCTTCACCTTTAACTGAGACAGGTCGTCTATTTTCTCCACCACTCCTGCAAAGGAATGAGCATGAAAATATATTTTTTTCCAATATCTAACATGCATCAACCCATATTGCTGGACTGTCTTAACTGTCTTAATATGCAAATACATAAAACTTCAGAGATCAAGCAAATAGATAGATAGATAGAGAAAAAGAAAGAAAGAAAGAAAGAAAGAAAAATATAATTTGCAGAATCAACAGCCTGTTTAGAAGGTCTGGGTTCTGGTTCATTGGGCAGCTTTCGGCTGACAGCAGTCACAAGGCTGACACAAGACCTCTCCCCAGCCCTTGCCTCCGCTGCAGTCTAAAATACACCCTCCCAACTTTACTAATTAATAATAAAACTGTTCCATCCTACAAGCTGATGTACACCACTGCTTCACCCACATCAGCACTATTGAATATTTTTACCTTTCAGGCCACCCGCCTCAGTGAATGCATCCACATCCCAAATCTTGTACAGGGGGCCATAGTTCCACCAATTCATTTCTGGGAGAGATTTGCATCGTGGGGCCTTGACAATGATCACAATGGCCCCAGCCAGCATCCCGATCCAACCAATCCAAAACAGGATCAGAAGAACCCAACGTGTTCTAACCCACCTAAGAGTGGAAGAGACTGTGAGACAAGAAAATCCGAGGACAGCTCACAGTTTTCATTGGTTTGAACTAAAACTAGCTTATGAACATCATAAAATCAGCAGTGAATAATTAATTGCTATCCCATTCCTTACCCTGGTGTCCCAGCAACCTTCATCAGCTCCTCTTTTGAAAGACCAGTGAACTTAACATCGGAATCGTCCGCTATCTTCACCGTGACGCTTCCATTTTTCTCGGTACCGATGGGAGAATTTCCAGCCCCTCCGTCAGTCATCGGCTGCTTTTCCGGATCCAGCTCAAGTTCCACGTCCTTCATATCGGCTTCCGTAACTTTACTCATTTTCGCGTCGATCGGTTTTAATTTACCTAAAAAACGGATTAATCGTGCTCAGTAAAGATGATAGCAAGGAATTAAATATACTGTATTGTGACTACCTGACCATAAGTTAGCTAAAACAATTAATCAAAGTGAAAAAAATGAACTGGTAACTAGCTCATTATTCTTATAACTCACAACTCATATTACATCATTTTAATTGAAAGACATAGTGAATCACATTTCATAAAACAAATTATGTATTCTACCTCAAATTAAGCGGCATCGTTAGTAAAAGCGGATACATTTATTAAGAATAGCGTCGCATCGTTCAGGGTGCCACTTAATTAATTATTCCAAGTTTTTTTAAAAAATAATTATTATTAGACAAAGCTTCTACCTTAAAATATGTAAAACAACCTCATGATCTCACCGGAAACGCCTACGACGGTTGATATGAGAAACCTTTGCTGAATATTGCATCACCCACCGTCACGGAACATCCCTAACAGTGTCATTCATTAGCGATTATATAGCTTTATAATGATTAATGTCAGAAATTGTAACTTAAGTCAAAAACGTGGCCAGTTGGCAGTTATTAGAGCATTCACTGGCCGGGCACCCGATGAGAGTGACACCGGTTACATCCAGCCCGGAGGAGACCCGCCGGCTGACAGCAGCCCCCGGCCGCCGCATGTCAAGATGCCCGGAAAGTTACGCGGCGCTCAAAACTATGTAGAATGCTATAGGCTCGATTCACCTCTTCTTTCTTGGTTTGAGTTGGTGCGATCGGTGTTCACAGTGAAAAACACGAGGAGCTACAACAGCCCATCATGGCACAACGGGAAAAAGCACTTTCAGTAGAGTCCTACTTAAGAACCTAAGAAATACACTTATAAATGTTTCAGCATGTACAAGTACAGCTTCTCGAATAGCTCTAACAAGTGTCACACCTTACAATTCCGAACGTGAGTAATGAGGTGTGAATAACTGAGTAGGTCTAAGTAGAACTTAGGAACCGGTCAGCTTGCCAACAACTACACACACACACACACACACACACACACACACACA